ACTCTTATTTTCTAGGAAGTACTGTCATGAGTATGCATGAATACATATTGCACATAGTAAATGGGATCAACATACTGCCAAAAATCAATGCTTATAGATGCATAAGTTGTTATTACATGTGAGCATGAGAATCAATATGCCTAAAATCTCCAACATTCACAATATGTTCTACACAATACACCAGTCTATTTGTTACCACCTCTTTGAGTGATAGGATTAAAGGCTTCTTCAACCTCAAATCTTGTTCTCTCTATATCATATCCTCTCACTTGATGTGAAAATGTTTTCTCTTGATTTTTTTGCATTTTTAGCATTAATTTAAAACAAAACATCTTTCTAGCATTGAGGTCATTCATTGCTTCTTCTCCACGCTTCACAAAATATTCAATCATCCGTCCATAAGTGCATTTCACTAGAGCAGTTATAGGTAGGTTTCTTGCCCCCTTCAAAACCTTGTTACCAGCCTCAGACAAATTTGTGGTCATGTGTTCATAACGATGTCCTTTGTCATCGTTACTGAAAACCCATTTTTTCTTTGATATATTATCGATCTACCTTTGTATTTCTAGTGATTCATTAGAAATCTTCTCAACTTCTCTTTGAATACAACCTTCAAAGGTATATATACTGCAGTGTACATAAAGTCATTGTTCACAATTAAAATAAAGATGAGTTAACAGGAAGACAAAAGGCATTAAATCATATTACCTAATTTTGTCAACTATTCTTTCAATTCAATGTTCTTGAATCTATGATTAAAATTGCTTGTAATATGATGAATGCAATAAACATGATATGTATTAGGAGGTTGCTATTCAATATGAGTTTGAAACAACACTTTTGATGCTTTGATGCCTATCAGATATAAAACATATTCCTGTCTTTGTTGTTACATGCACACGAATCATTGCCAAAAATCATTCCCACGTTGACATAGTCTCTCCTTCAACAATAGCAAACGCTAATGGTGGGATACAATTATTTCATCTTGTGTTGTTACAATCAACAATGTGTGACGATACTTACCATACAAAACTGTTCTATCTACCTTAATAATAATTGGTTTGCAAAAGTTGAAAGCTTCCTTACATTGATTAAAATACCAAAACAATCATTCAAATACTCTAAATCTATTATCCTCTTGATGCCCAACAACAAACAGCTTCGTTTCAATCTTATAAACAAGCCCAACAACATAAAATTGCATTTACTCTAACCATCTTGGCAATGTAGCATATGATTCATCTTAGTCACCAAAGATTCTTACAATTGCCTTCTGTTTTACCTTCTAGACCTTTTGTATGAAATTTTATATCCAAATTGAGTACTCATCCTTTCTTGAATTAAACTTCTAAACAATGATAGTTCAAGATTAACCATAACTACAAAAAACACAACAAATTAACATAGTTTTCTTATTTTCAACAGGCTTTATGAAATAAGATATTAAGCATACTTTCATACATATAATAAAAACTTACCAATGATACATGAACAAATCAAATCTGAATCTAGTTTGGTATAGTCTTGAGATATTGTAGGGTTGAGACATGTATGCTTACCCACATACCTCGTTATATTCTACTTCATTAAATTTAAGCAATTATGTTTTTATTCTCTATGGACAACCATTGTTATAGTTCAAACACCTCATATATAACTTTGTTGGTTTAGACTCAATAACAAAATAACTCTGATGTATTTTTATTGTATGTTGTTTTGAGGCATTTTTACTTCATCTTTTGAGTCAAATAATAAACCCACATATAAGAAATCTCCAATAGCACATGAAATGTCTTCATTAATTTCTTTTGCTTTGATTTCTTGGTCTAGGTGTTTCCAATTAATATAATTACAGTATGAACTTACATTCCAAAATGGTATTTTACTTACACCCATATATAAACTATCATTATTCATCATCATAAAAAACTTATAATTTAATCAATATACTGTTTAACTAACAATACTTCCAACACTTTGTTGTGGTAAATTTAAGTTTGAATCAAAATCATTATCTACATTTTTATCGAACGAACTGTTTAATGAAATATGTCCTTCATCATCATCACTATTGACTTCTTTATCTTTATCTTCATAACTGCATAAATCTTTAGATATTTCAAAATACATACACTTATACAATATGTGTTGTCACTAAAAATAAAGCATAAATCATTATATAATTTAATTTATACCTTCTGTAACATCTATATTCACCATTTTCATAAGGTTAGGCGATGACATTGATAAGCTTTAGTTTAACATATTTGAACCAACTCTTAAACTCTCACTAAATGCAATATCCATATATAATTCAATAACAGTTGTAATACTTTGTTGTTGATACGCACTAATCATACAATCAATGTCTTCGTTATCACATATATCTATAGAGTGTATTGTTTAACACTTAAATCAACCAAAAAATATGAAATTATTCTAAATATAAACTGATTATTACTAAGATTCAACTTGTGCATGAATTTTTTTTTCAAATTCTGAAAACCTATCCCTCTTCTTATCTTTATCATTTTTTGGTTACCTTCAAATGTCACACATGTTTCTAACGAAAATTTTTCATTCTAATATACAATAATAATAATAATATCACTTATCCTGCATTTGTAAAAAGCACAATATTAATAAACAATTACAATTATACTTATTTATATAAATAATAAAAAACAAAATTATTATTAACACATGAAAACATATTACTGCATTCACTTCAACTTAAGTATATTCAAAAAAATCTATATTTTTATATATGTATTACACATATATAAAATAAATATTCACAACAGATATAGCATTATTTTTTTAATTAATATTCGACATAATATTAAACTTTTACTAACATAATTTCTATATCTTTTTTAGTAACTACAAAAAAATAAATTTTGAATTTCAACATACACAAAAATATATTCACTAATATATTCATCAATTTTACCAACCTTTATTCATTCAACTAATTAAAAATTATTTAAATTTAAATAAAAAAATTTAACAAATTAATTGAATATCATAACTAACATGCAATATTTCTTCTAACTCTTTCTTTCTTCAAGCTTCATTTTCATTTCCACATCGTGACATTATATAGACAAAATTTTATGGATAATAGTGTGTAACTACACTCTTTTAAGCAAAGGGTAAAGACACGTTTCAACGTCCCACCAATTTTGTCCAAAATTACGACAAAATTAACAAAATTTATACACATGTCAACGTCTATGAGTTTCATCCCAAAAGAAGATGAAATTATCACAATTTTGACATGTGTTGTAATTTCAAAGTTTCATTTTGATAAAAGATGAATTTGGCTTTTTATCCATAGATTTGACGAAACACTTACTTCATTTTGTATGAAACCATTGACACGTGTCACATTTTAAAGAATTTTGTCTCTTTTTCAGACAATTTGATAAATTAAAAAAAATAAAATCATTCAACTGAAATATGAAACATCGGTGGCAAAAGTTACCTCAGATGAAAAATATTTTTTTTTTAATCTTACAATGGTAATTAGTTATTAAAAAAGTAATAAAAAATTCACTAAGCCGAAATTGGAATGCCCAGGAATAAGTAGTTCTTGCATTAAGAAAAACTGACAAAACATCGTACTTTTCAGTAGATATTAGGCTAAGGAAAAATGGTCACAAAGTAACAATCTGATTTTGTATTATATTTTGCGGTTGTAATTAGAAAATCCTGTAGCCAAAACAATCAAAGGCAGACGGCAGAATAACCTTGAGTTTCAAGAATCATTAGGACAAACAAACTATTAAGTTGCTTCTTCTAATTGTTGTAATCTAGAGCCATGTGGCAATCTCGGTGCTTGGTCGCATGGTGAGGAATCGGGACAACCATTAACTATTGATTTCTTGTCCAAATTAAGGAACATAAATAAAATAACAATCCACACACACCGATACTTTGAAGACACAATAATAATAAAGCATTTCAGTATGGATTGGTCCACTTTTCAATTAACCAATATGGTGTGTTGTATTGTGTTGTGTATCTTATAGATGGAAAAGGATAGAATATCGATGAAGGAATGATTAAACTTTCCCTGTAGCTCTGGAGAAAGAGAAATCAAGAGCACTAGAAATCATGGGTGTTGCATCATGGTTGGTCACCATTACATATTCTTTGTGCTAGTTATCAGTAACATTCGGCAAAACATTTCATCAAGAAGATCACCTTTCACTATATCTTGCCATCGTAGCAACGTCTAATGTTATTTTGTTTGTGTTATGCTTGCTGTTGGTGGCAGATGACAATTTTGCTGATTTTCATCTTAATTTTGCATTCAGCTTAATAGGATGCTTTCATATTAATTTGTACTTATGTATCCCCTCCTTGCCATCCTCTTGGAAGGCTGGAAACAAGTTGTCTCTTTTTTTATATATGCAATTTCATTTCCTAGTTGTAGAATATAAGGGAGACGATAATTCCCTTACTAATGACACCAAGAATTGCCAAAAAAGCAAACTCTGCAGCACAAGCAACATAACTTAACCTTGATGATACCTTCAAAGTGACCAATGTGCTCAATCGTTTTATGAAGGAAATAAAGCAATTTTTTATGGAAACTCTATAACCCAAATTGTTTGACAAAAAACAATTAATGAGAGACCATTTCAAATTAATTAATAAGGGTAGTAAATCCGATACGAGTATTTTAGATATCTAACAGGTAAAGAATATTAAAATTTTCATTTATACAACGGGTTCAGATACGTGTACTTTTATAAAATATAGGTATGAGAATGAGTATTGTATTACTTTACTTAATCTATTTCTACCCATTGTGTCGAAAAGAAAAAACTAATAAAGAATTTCCGAGTATTACCAAAATTGTTTTTTTCTTTTTCAAATAACCAAAATTTGTTTTTTTTTTTTTTTTTTGTCAAATACCAAAAACTGTACCACAAAATTCCCTTACATAAAATATGGGCTTCGATCCCACGTGTTGGGCCATCAGTCCACTACCACCTGTGTTCAAAATACGGGCCTGGTGGCCAGGGATGGGCCACAGGCCGAAAAGGTACGTAATATTGCACCGCCGGAGGAGGCGGGGGAGGGTATGGACGCGCCGGCGGCGGAGGGTAACAATAATGACACTCTCCGGACGGCGGAAACAAAACCGGCGGAGGCGGTGCAACCGCGGGAGAATAAACAGCAGAAGCCACTGGCAAAGCAGCCGTCGGGTAGCAATATGAGTTCGCGATTTCCGACGTTGGATATTGTATTCGTACCTGCGATGTGTTCGGAGAACAATCATCCGGAGCCAGAACAGGGTACCCAGAGATTCTCCCGTCGAGAATCTGTGACGAGTGGGTCCCAAACCCGTTCAATTTGTACGAGAAATTGAAGATCCCGTTGGGCTTGCCATCAGCGGCACGAACCTCGTAACTCACGAATCTGGCGACGTCGGGGACGTCACGGAGCAGATCGGCGATGGAAACGCGACACTCTCCGAGGAGCTTGTCGCCGAGGATGACACCGTCGTGTCGGAACTCGAAGCGGAAGAAGAGGTCGGCGAAACCGCGTTGCGAGAAGCATTCCAGATCGAAACGCGCTTCGTGGTTCCATTCGGGGTTGCTACCGTCGTCGTCGCTTTCTCTATCTGTTTGGGTTTTCTGCTGTTGCTTCTGTTCCTCCGTTAGGTCTCTGGTGGGATCATCACTGGCGATGAAGACGAGCGCGTAAACGGTGAGTTTTTGAAAGAAGTTGAAGGCTCTGAGGTCTTTGCACGAAATGAGTTTCAGCTCTATGCTGCTTCTGGGTTCCATTGGAGAATGTGTTTGTGAATTGGGTTTTGGACAATTGTTAACGTTGGAAAGATGAGTTGTCGCAATATTAAGTTTTGAAAGTGCTATCTCGTAAATATCGATCTATGATGAGATTGTTGTCCGCGTATGGCAATATGAAACTACAAATGAAAGTACAAAACTAACCTTCAATATTCAGTTCGTTACGTGTGCCTTGGGATTTAAGGATTTGAAGGGAAGGTTCTTGTCATTTTCATTCACGTTATTTGGCTATCTAATTGTCTTTATGCTCTGGTGTAATAGTGCCATGGGTTTATTGTCATTACATGTAGTGCACTGTTATGTTACGTGTATATCACGAATTGTAATGCAATGCTATTTGTATTATTATTACCTTTCAGATCCAAATTACTCCCTTGCCTTGACTAGCATATCTGAAAATTTCACATTGATAAACTTACTTTGTCAAGTTACATATCACAATCTGCCAGAGAACTTGCAATTGATAATGAACAAGTCAGGGATAGTTTTTCTTTTTCTGAACAAAGGATTCAGCATTCAAATAAACAACTGAAAACAGAAGAATAATTACCATTCATATCTAAAGGAAACAAGAAGACAGGAAAAACCAATAGACAAAAGCAAACATGTTAGTTTTAACTCTCCAGCTTCACATTCCTTGTTACAAAATAAATTAGACTTATTTGAAGATAGCACATGCAATGATGCAATGTATCTACAATGCTGCGAATGACTGTAGCAAGGGAAGCCAATCTTCAGCAACATAGATATAGAAATTTAAGAATTTAGGCTTCAGAAGAAGAAAATGAACTACGTAGAAGCTGACAAGGAAGAAAATCAGTTTTATTTAAATTAAATTTTGTTTTGATAAATTTCAAATATATCCATATTTTTTTTTATCGTGGATCTAATTTGTTTTTTTTTTTTTCAATTTAGATTTTTAAATCTAATTGAACCTGGTTATAGAATGGACTTTCATATCTAGATTTTGTATCCACCCGTATATGAAATTATCTTTGGAGTTTCTTGCATAAATGATCTCATGTCCATGTTCTTAATGACTTTACCAGCTTGTCATAGATAAACTTGCAATAAAAATCACTGATAATTGTTACATGCTGTAACATTCCTTACAAAGTAAAAAGAAATAAATATATAAATGATACGTTATTCTATATTTGTGTTAGCAAAAACTTAAGGACTTTCAAAGATCAATTAAAATTTAAAATCATAGGAAGACAGTTTCTACACTTTATTTGGATTAAAAGGGTGAAGAAATAGGAAGGATTGAAATGAATGAAGTAGAAATTAAATATTAGTGAAATTATATTTGTTTAGATGGATTGAAATATTAGTGAAATACAATGAAATGAAATAAAAATATGTTTAAATTATTTTATTCTTAGAATATAAAAATCAACACAGTCCAGAGCATCATTTTGACTATACTCTTTCTTTTTGTATTTGGATTCACACTCTTTGTGCGTTTTTTCTATTTTTTCCATAAACACAACATCTCTTACAACTTAATCAGGAATAGCTTTGTATTTGGATTCACCCAAGATTGTTTTGTAAATGGGATGTAATCAATTGGACAACTGAATTACCTTTTCATGACCTATGGAAAGAAAAAAAGCTTATGTAGTTGATGCTCAAGTTGCAATAAAACAAAGAATTTATGTGTCATGTTGGTTGTTTCATGGTTCTTTGGAACCTTATGTATTGTGCCCTTTAGTGTAGATAAGCAGGTTGATTACTTTGAATTAGTATAAATTGATTACATTCTAGGTATTCTAATGCATTTTTAGAAGGTTAAGAATGGATGTTCTAATATTTGAAAATGGAGAGGTAAAACAAAACTTTTAAAATTTTTTGAGATAGGAACACATCAATTTGTAAGAGACAAAAGTGATAAATAAATAAATATAGTTTTAGCCTTGTTTCACTTCGTTTCATGTCACTTTTACTATGAAATTTTTTTACTAGGACTCACAAAAATATATTTAACTGCATGTCTAATTTCAACTCATTCAAATGAATGAAATAAGATATATATAATCAATTTCAATTTTCTGGGTTTCAATACATTCAAACTAAGGCTTAATTCAAAAGACTTTTATTTGGTTGAAACATATCTATAATGTAAATTTAAAATGATACAATCAATTAAACTTTACTAATAACTTATTTATCAAGATCTTCATTATAAAAATAGAAACAATGCATAATTAATAGCTTAAATTTCAGTTCAATTCTTACTTTTTTTCTTCCAAATTTCATCCCATCTTTTGTACTAGTTTGCTTTTCTGTTAAAAAGCATGAAATTTATTTTGTTATTAGTGGTTAATAATTATAACTTAATTTGTATGAAAATTAAGACACATTAATTAATAAAACTATAGTTTAAAAATGATTAAAATAAAACTTAAAGAGATTATGACGCTAATTATAATTTCCAATCAAATGTTAAACAAATGGATCAAAATTGAAATGAACTCATTGTTTTTCCTTCATTTTTTAATTTGTAAATTATGTAAATAAATGAAAAACTTTCAAAAGCAAAACAAAAAAGTAAATAATAATAATAAATAAATAAAAACAATGATGCAAAAGTGACCCGGATTAAAATTAATTCTTATACAACTAGGCTATCATTCAATATTTTTTTTTTACTCATTTACTTTAAGATTCACTTTAAACATTTTATTAATTTGCACAAAGCATGGACAATTAAGTACCTACACTGATAATCTCTTCTTCTTAGAATTATTTGAAATATATTTTTTGAAGTGGATATACTTATTTGATAGTATAATCTTTTATTGTTAATCAAATGCATTCTTAATAAAAACCTAATTTTGATTTTAAACGAAACCCGTACAGTAATTCATTAAACAAAATCTCGTTAATTTTCCCGCTGGTTCAAGGGTTCATTTTAAAAAACCAAATCGCCTTTCAATTTTAATGCTTTACGCGCGCCGTTACGGAAACGATGCCGCTATCCACGACCGGCCCCTCGCCGTCACCGGCGTTAGAAGAAGAGCAGTCACCTCACGACGATGACGGTTATGACGTTAACAATGACGACGCTTCGTTCAGCGTCGTTTTACTGGACGAGGAGGGTTTCCCGTCACAAGCCCCCGGCGAAAACGGTTCACCAAGCGGATCGGAAACGGCGTCGGAAAAAAGCAGCTTCGCCGCTGATTTCTATCAATGCGGAACAGATTGGTCTTCGTTGTTGTCGCCAGAGGATCGTAGACACAGCGATCACGCGCGCGATTCGGGGAAGAAGCTGAAGCAGGGGAACCTGTTGCAGATTTGGGGGTTCAGAAGAAACAAGACCGTTGGTTCCGTTGAATCTGGACCCAATCAAAGTAGTTATTGTGGTGACGGAGGTGAGGGTTGTGTTTCTTCCGAGAGGAAGATTGTGAAACGTGGAAATTGGGGTTCGATTTTGCGTGACACGGGGAAAGTGTTTGAGAAGCCTAAATCTTCTAGCAAGCGAAAGGAACCCCATGCGGAAAATAGAGTTACACGTGCTTGTCCCTTTTATAAGAAAATCCCAGGTAAAATGAAATGAAAGTTCTTCCATTTTTATTATCGGTACACGGTGCGTTTAGATATACACGTTTATTCAATAAGTAACGATAAATTATCTTATAAATTTAACTATAAAATTTATTGAGATAAGTGGAAATAAATCATTTTAAACACGGGATAAGTTATACAACGAGTTCATTGAAATAAAGAGTACAGAAATCCTATGCTATTCCCATAAGCTGTGTGCATAAGCTTTTTCAAATTGGCCGGCCAATATTATTTTACTTAACATAGTTTTGATTTAGGAGTTAATGTAGCGTGGTATGGTATGTTGTTTCCCAATCTGGTTCTTGGTGTTACTAAAGAGTGGAAAAGTTGTAGTATTATGTCATTACTTCTCTGTTTTGAAAACTGTTGGGATAAATCAATGAAAGTGATGAAACAAATTGTGTTGAAAAATCTGTTTGGTAATGGTTACGTTTTTAATTAGTTTCTTTTACCTGTTCTGTTATGAAAATGAAGAAGCGTGTAGTTTCTGAATATTCTAAATTTAGTCTATTCGCCTATGCAGGGACAACCTTCACTGTTGATGCTTTTCGTTATGGGTGTGTTGAGGAGTGCTCAGCGTATTTTCTTAGTCATTTCCACTGTGATCATTATGGTGGCCTTAGCAAGAAATGGTCCCATGGCCCTATTTATTGCTCTCCTCTCACGGGACGGCTTGTTCAAATGTGTCTCTCGGTAAATCCTTTGTAAGAATTCGGAGACTCTTTTATTTTCAATGCCTTCTTATTAGATAACTCGCTTACATCAACAGACAAATCAAAGTGCACCTGATCATGATTTTGTTCTTTCCATTTCAATGAAATGATTAACATTTTTATTATATTTGTTTATATAGGTACATCTACCCTTTGGAATTTAACACTGAACACGTGATTGATGGTGTCAAAGTGACCTTGTTAGAAGCTAATCATTGTCCTGGTGCAGCTTTGATCCATTTTGACCTCCCAAATGGGCCATGTTATTTACACACTGGAGACTTCAGAGCATGTAAAAAAATGCAATCTTACCCTCTTCTTATAAATCAACGTGTGAATGTACTTTATTTGGATACCACATATTGCAACCCAAAATACAGGTGAGACACAGATTTTGCCTGTATAGATCTTGTCATTCAGTTACAAAATATAATCATTGGTTTTGTAACGTAGATTGTTGGGTCTCAATGACAATTTGCTGCTTCAGGTTCCCTTCCAAAGAAGATGTACTAAATTATGTTGTCAAAATTACGAAGAACCACCTCAAAATGCATCCCAGAGCTTTAGTGGTTGTTGGGGCATACAGTATTGGCAAAGAATGTGTATATCTTGCAATTTCTAAGGCACTCGGGGTATATATATATTTTTATTTCCCTAGCAAAGTTCAATTTTGGCTTGTATTTTCATTCTATTCCCTTCTCTTGTCAATTGTTCTTCTTGTTGACATGAGTGATGCCCCAGTGAATATATAACATATATTGATGTCTAAGATTTGGTTTTTTTCTTATGACAATCTTATCTGTTGTCTATTGCCGATGGTTTTGATGTTTTCACTTTATTTCTTTGACCCTTCTGCAACGTCTAAATTTGTGCGTGCTGGAATTGGCAACCTAGCAATATGGCCAAACAATTTTGGCTATTTGTGATACTGTTATGACATATGAGGTTCCTCTTCATGGGTTTTCTGCTCTGAATTAACGAAAGTAGCTTTAAGTTGTTATGTCACCTCACAAACTGTTTGATCCATTGGAGCAATATCTGCGGCTTTTTTCTGATTCAGGTGAAAATCTATGCCAATGCTTCAAGAAGGCGGATTTTGCTAGCTTTTGGTTGGCCCGACCTTTCAGATAGTCTCTGTACAAATGGAAATAAGACACTTCTCCATGTTCTGCCCATGTCATCTCTGAGATTTGAGGTTTAATTTTGTGCCGTTACATTTTAAGCTTGAAAGTCTCAGTTTTTCTTCTTAGAATTTTGTCTTGTTATATAATAATTCACCATCCATGTTTTTCTTGTTTCATTAGACCTTAAAGAATTACTTGAAGACCTACAAGGAACAATTCACAGCGATATTGGCATTTCGTCCAACAGGTATTTTACCTATACTTTTGATAAAACTGATTTCTGAATCATCTTGGTATTTGTAAGTTGTCAACAGAGAAACTATATGTACTGATGGAGTAGTTCAACTCAAGGGTCAACACTTTATACTTCATTTTTCAGGTTGGACTTTCAGTGAGAAGATACGCAACGATCTGGAACTAATTAAACCTGTTTCCAAAGGAAATATCACGATATATGGTAAGATTAACTGCATTTCAACAACCAATTCTGATATAAAATATGAACTTGGTTTTAGTGCTTATATGTATTTAAAATGCACTGGACTTGACCACGGTGCATCAGGGTACTTTTAGTTTTGGGTTCTTCATATTAAGAATCTGCTTTCAGTTGCTGAAATGCTGAGTAGGCTATGGTCACCACAGGCAAAACAAGCTTTTAATTTGTTTATTCTCAGCTGGTGTTATAGTACTTATTTATCCAGCAGACTAGTAAAGTTTATGAGCCCTTTTTTCTTCCTTCTTCTAGGGGTTCCCTACAGTGAGCACTCCAGCTTCAAAGAACTGCAAGATTTTGTTCAGGTCCATAAATGTTTGAGACTTCTTTGACTGAAACATGTTAGATAATTTATTTGAGGGTAACTACAAAATTGCAATATTTTTTTCTCATATTTTAGTGAATCTATCTTTATCATCCCACAGTTTTTGAGGCCTGACAAGATAATTCCAACTGTGAATGTCGGGAATGCTGCTAATCGAGAAAAGATGCAATCCTACTTCCGAGACTGGTTGAAAGGATAAAGTATCTGGCTCTGCTTTTCGTTAAGAAACTGAATTTTTAATAAGGTTTCCGTTTAGAAACCAATTTCCGGGGACTCAACATTTACTGCTGCTTGCAGAAGGTGATACATGAATTTTTTTTGCATCTTGACCATTATGATTACATGTTCTAACAAATGGCTGCAGTACAACAGATGTTTTACTACATGTTTCAGCTTGACCCCTGGTATGCTTCCCATTTGTTGTCCCTGGTATGCTTCCCATTTGTTGTCCGCTAAAAATCTCCCTAAAAGGTCCTACTGCAAAGGCATACAATTTTATGACAAACCAAAGTTGAAAAATATAAACTTTGATGCCAAGCCTTCTGCGTACAAAGCACTTGCCCATTTTGAACATTGTTTTTTAATATCGTGTAAAATACCAGTGAGAATTCCCTCAGGATTCATATTTTTTATCCTGGATGTAGGACAAGTAATTGTAAGAGTTCTATTCTTCAAGGCCTCGTTATATCCATTAGAGCTTTGGTGAAACTTATATGGTGATGGACTTTTATCTTATTGTATTTTGAGAAATAAACCCTTGTACGTTTTACGAAGCTAGTGTACTGGTTACAACTCGATAACAAAATTTTGGCTGCTATGAATCGCTTCTTGTAACTTGTAAGATTGGAGAAAAATATAGCATCGATATTATACAAAAATATTTATTACTTATTGCATTTGGTGAAATCTCCCTTGAGGGGTTATCATGCAATTTAAGACTTCCATTGTTAGTTTTATTAATATTTTAAATAGAGATTTTAGATATCCTAGCGACAAGTAAACTTACATACCCTCTCATGCTCCCCCTTCCCCTTGTTTTATATTTTCATTTCTTTCCCGCTTATCTCTTGGGAGTGTTTGTCAGCATGCCCGCAGAGTATCAATTTCATGAGGTAATTTATAGTTTAATAATCTCTTTCAATTTGATACTATGTTTTAAGCGACACTTCACTCTTATTAATCTTATATATAACCATCAGATTTTTTTGGTCCGCTTTTTAATAAAAGGACTGTCATAATTATATATAAAAAACTAAAAAACAATGGTTTATATATAAGCTTTGAAAATATACTCTTGTTTGCTAACATGATTATGTTATCAACTTATAATTCTTGAGAATATATTAACAAATCTCAGTAAGATTTTGCTAACGTATTTATTTTTAAAAAGTGAAAGTGTATTAATACTCACTCATTTTTTAGGAGTGCTTTAGCAGGACGTTTAGAAATATTTATTTCTATAAAATCCTAGTCTTCATTCTTAAACAAAAGCATTATCTTAAATAAGAATGTTTTTAAAAAATTTTATTTTCTAATTATGTGTGACTTCTCTTGCATTCAATATTTAAATTATTTTGTTAATTTTTATTCTTTTCAATAACTTCTCTTTATTTTAATTTCAAATTAAATTAAATTTAAAATTTGACATATTATATTGAGTTAATATATATTTTTAGATAAATTAAATTATAAGATTATCAAATATTAATTTGACTTTCAATTTTGATATCCCATATTGATAAGAATGAAAAAAAAATTGAAATCAATCTTAATTTACAATTTTTATAATTTTTTTCTTCATTTTAAAAATTTAATCTGTTTAATTTATTCCTATTATATTCATTTTTAACTACAAAAATATTTATTCATTTTATTATAGAATTTATTGAATTTTAAAATAATCATATAATAAATCTTGAAGTTTTTATTCAGAAAAAACATTTTAATTTAATAATACATATAATACATAAAAAAATCACTAATTTTAAAAATTTCAAATTCACGTCTTATTATATTTCTTCTAAAATAATAAGCAGAAGTCTAATGTCAGAAAAAAAAAACACACTTTATATATAGCACAGGAGTCTTCAATTAAACAAATTCCACATGAAAAGAGGATTAATAAATCAGCTAAGTTATCAAGTACGAAACGTTTTCACGCGAATTTACGAATTTCAAAATCACCAATCCCGATTCACGGTTTATATTTTATGCTAATGCTCGTTTTAAAAAGAAAAAACCATTAACCAATCAGAAATTTCAACATTTGCGGTGAATTCATTTCCGTAATTTGAAGCATTTTCCTTAACATGTTATCGACCAATTCAACATATTAGGAAAGAACGATGCTTGGCGTTGTTAAAAAACAGAAAGCAATACTCAATCACAAAATCACACCTGCAATTTAACTAGTACGAGATTGACATGTTTTTCTCAATCTTAAATAGAAGAAAACAACATACCAGGATAGACTGATCATGTAACAAATCATAAGAGCACAACGTTAAACCTTTTTTAAACTATTTAAGGTCAGACTGATTGAGTCAAACCGTGTGGATAATTCTATAATTTGCAAGAGAATTTTGCACTTTCTAGAAGGAAGAAATTTTCTCCTTCCATGCACAGCTACCCTTAACTATAAGTGCGGACCCCCATAATTAATGAACCAAATATTTTAAATGAAGGATTTGCTTGGGGAGAAATATATTTCAAACTGAACTAGTTGTGTGCTTCAATTCGAACTCCTTAATTTTTTAATGTTACGCAAACGCAAGTGGGCAACCAAACAGCTAATTTGGCCATCAATAAAGCATGAGTCAGAGCAAGGAGAACTATGTACATTATTTACTGATTGTTTACAAGTGCTACATCTTTGCACTATAGGCTCATTTTCTAATCAAATTTTTATGCTCTGATATCGGCTTCCCAGCATTAAGACATGAATTATGTAATATATAATCAAAGTCAACGGGGCCATACTTGATGAAAATGCACACACGAGGACAGAATGACTGTTGCAATTATATCTGGCGGTCTAGTCTACACCACATTTTGTTCATCTACAATAGAAACAAGAACAACAAAGCAAAGTATGACTACTGTAGAAAACGAATCTAGAGACTACCATGGCAATTTCAGCTCCAAACTAAGCACCAAATTTCTAATAGAATCCATCTTTTGTGATTTGTGAAGGACAAATAATTTCCACACTTGCAATCTACATCTATATTCTATACACATGCTCTACCCCTCGGTGTAGGCACTAGGCAGAGCCCCACACATTTCCACCCCCCAAAAAAATGCACTTCATGTGATACAAGAGCTGTAGCTGATGCTAGATCATGAGAGGGAAATTATATCACATGGTCTCATCTTGATCAAAGGCAGAAATGTTGCACACGTATTTCAGGTTTTTTTCTTAAGTCAGAAATACTAAAAATAATTGGCCAATCCACCTCGTGATTAAATAAACTGGAACATCAAGCACAAATACTGAAAAAAGATAGCCACAACGTCAAGCCTAATGCCCAGTGATTGTTGGCTCCATATGCTCAACGGCCCAAGCCCGGATATCTTTCATCTATAATGATAAAAATGATTTTCCTATCGAGAAAAGCATTCATAATTAAATAAGCCATACGTATTTTCTTTTGAAACTCTGTCCACTTGCTACAATATTTTATGCTACATAAATCCATGAGCCATTGTCATGCTATCAGTTAAAACTTTAATTCCATGGAGGGTGCAGAAATAAAGCTGAGTAGATTGCAAGCTACGGGTCCAAAACAGCATTAGACCAAAGAGAAACAAAATGGCAGGAAGGAATCAACCTCAAATATAAATCACTGGCTTCAGGTTGGTGATTCCACCTGAGCATCAATCCGAAAGAATAGGCTCAGTTGCCCACCTGAAGGGGTAGTTGAGGATCATGGAGTGTAGCCAGCCAAATATAATTTTAAGGCAACTCCCATGCTAGTTTACAGAAATGCAAACACTTCAATAACAACAATTTATCAAACAAAGAACTCCTATGTAATGTAAACCTCAGATTATGCAACAAGCCACCCTTCAGCACCACTAGCCTAAAGGATCTTGAGATGAAACCATCTAAATTATGTACATAACACTCATCCTTTTTCATAACAGCAAAGCACACATCTTTCAGATTAAAGTCACAAAAGGATTATGTATGTCCATTTCCCCTCCAAATCCAATACATATGATTATAAACATTTCCTGCCCAAAATGTGGTATATGTACCACTCTGGCTCAACCCAGTGCCCAGACTCTAGAACATGAGTTTTATATTGCAGATCATATCCTTTTCTCCAATTACAGCACAGTAAAATCAAAAGTTTCATAATTTCTGACCAGGAGACTAGGAGGCTCTGCATAACAATACTATTTTTTTTTTTAAAATAATACAGTGAATGTGAAGGGTAGCATCACCAAGAAGTATAATAAAAAAGGTCCATACTACATATGTATATGTTATATAAAGGGTTTTTGGGAATATGCAAAGTAATAGCAACAAACGAAAACAAAACTTAAAGTAGCCAGCAACTATCTCACTGAATAGGAAACATTACGTTGTATTCACAAAGTCCCTCCCTACATGCTACCGATCAAGTTTCAGTAAGTCACAGAAAAAAAAAAGAAAAATAAATTAACAAAAAATGAAGAAAAGGCTAAGGAGTGACGGAATCAAGCCTGGGTTCCAGTCAGGGCCTTCATCTGGACATGATTGTGATCCGCAGGGGAAGAATTGGTGGGTAGCGCCTCATAGGATCCCAGCCTCCTAACGCCCACGCTCTTGGCGACGAGCGCATAAGTGAGGATAGCAACGAGGAAGACGAAGATGACGTGAAGCAACAGAGCGAGATCGAGAATAGCAACGGCTCTGAACTTAGACTGGTCAAGATCGCACTGCGTGGATCCCTCGACGCCGCTGCTAACGTCGAGGAGGCGGTGGCATCCGTCGGGGATGAAAGCGTCGGCGTAGAGGGAGAGTCCGGTCTGGAGGGACCAGAGGCCGCGGAGGCAGAAGAGGGCGGCAAGAGCGGCGTCGGCGGGGAAGAGGCGGGGAAGCGCGGCGAGGAGGAGGGAGAGGAGTGCGGAGAGAGCGGAGAGGTGAGAGGTGACGGAGAGACACTTAGCTTCGAGAGCGGAGGTTTGGAGGGAGGCTCGGGTGGAGGAGAGGGAGGAATGGAGAAGAAAGAAGGAGGAGAGGAGGGCGAAGGAGAGGTCGTTGGGGAGAGGGAGAAGAGAGGGGGATGAGTCGGAGATGAGGAGAGAGAGGGTGAGAAGGAGGAATAGGAAGAGGACTGCGGCGGATTGGAGGGATGCGAGGCGGTGGACTGGGGTGGCGCCTTTCACTAAGGGGTCGGAGTCGGCGGAGAGAATGAGTTGATGTGCGATTGCTATGAGGAGAGATAGGATTGTGAGGTGAAGTTGAAGGTGTCGCGGGCGTGGGAATGGGTGGAAGGGTTTGGCCGCGTAGCTTTGTGGCGATTTGAGGTAGTTTCTTGTGCTGCATATTAGATGGTATAGTCCCAGCGAGAACACTGCTCCCCCACACATCACTTGGTACCCCAGACTCCCCATTCTTCTCTCTTCTCTTCTTCCCTATTCAGATCTTCCCCTCCCCTCTTCTCTATATTATATTCTTTTTCTTTCCCTCGCTTTCCTTATTCTCTTCTCCCCCTAATTCTTATGTCATCTCCCCCAACCTCTCTCTTTCCTCTTTCTCTTTTTAATTTCACTGCTGTTTATTATCGTCCCATCATAATTTTTAAATTATATAAGACTATATTATCTTCTACATTTTTAATTTTTATATATATATATATATATATATATATATTATGAATGAAATTTTCATTAGTAATATTAATAATTTAAAGTGTATTTTAATACAGTATTTAATAGTACTTATTTAATAAAAAATTGTATGATAACTCATGTCATAAATTTAATCATTAAATTTATTGGAATAAGTTTAAAATAACTTATTTTGATCAGCTATATTAAAAATATTTATGAAAGTCATAAATTTTTACAATTGTTTATAAACTATTCTAAATAAGCCAACGAGCAAATCGGGTTCTAGCCAATGTATACCTGCGCTGTATTGAATGGAATTCCAAAAATTTCTTCAAACGTGAAAACGTAGCTGGAGATGAAGTTGATTGCTACTCTATATCTAGCTTGCCACAAATTTTGGCAAATTGAATATCTGATGTGTCGCATCCTTGCAGCAGGTTCATATTATTTTTCACCTCAATAAATAAAAGCTTTGGAAACGAAGGAGACATCAAGGAGAAGGAAAGCTTCTTACAAAAAAAGAAAGGTCAAGGCTTCTTAGAGTAAGAGAAATAGTGAGAGTAAATCTTAAGAATGTAAGAAAAATACAGAAATGGATCCTTTGCAGTTTACGTGAGAATTGTAGCTTACAGTTTCATTTTTGCTTAAGTGAATTATTAGCTTAAGCGAAAATAAAACTGTAAACCGCAGTCCTCCTTTCTTCTTTATTTTTTCTCTTCATCTCAGCTTCTTCTTCTTCCCCACTCTTTTCTCGTCTCCTCCTTCTCACCCCACCCCATCTCCTCCCTTTCACCCTCACCCAACCTTCCTCTTCTTCTCCATCTCTTCTTCTTTCAACCCCACCCAGTCTCTTTCCCCTTCTCTCCTCATCTGTTTCTCCTCCCCTTCATCACCACCATTCTCATTTCTTTCTCTCCTCATCCATTCTTTTTTTCTCCTTCTTCCACTTTTCCTCACCCTTATTCTCCCTTTGCTCTTGCTTCTATCTCTTTCTTAGTCTTCCTTTTCTTCTTCTTTTTTTTTTTAGTTTTTTCGCCCTGGTTTAAGCGAAATTTTTCATTTTTGTTAAGCGAATTTTATTGACTTAAGCAAAAATTATTTTTTGGCTTAAGCGAATTTTTTGGACTTAAGCTAAAATCACTTTTTGCCAAAGTCGCTTAAACAAATTTTGTTTCACTTAAGCGAAAACTCACTGCTAGGCGCAGTTCCCGCCAAAACTGTAGAGAATCTAGATCCAAGAAATAAAGAGAGTTTAGTATTACTTCTATAACTTCTTAATACTACAAATTTGTACTATTTAAATAGGAGTAAATCTCCTTAGAAAAGTTATATTTTGTAACTTTTGTACATAGAAGATGAAAAACATTGTAACTATCTCATATGTTATGATGAGGGTGATTTTTTTTATTATGGTTTTTTTAATGAAATTATCAAAGTATGACATTTTTTATAAAATTACTTAAATAAGGTATATCTAAAAAAATGTCAATGATAATTTCAGATTGTATAAAAAATAAAACTTTATAAAATAAAGTCGCCATTGGTGAGTTTAGAAGGAGAAAAAGTATAAATGATTGGTAAAAATTGCCACTGGCAATCTTTGAATGTTAAAAAAGCTTTTTAACTTTTTAAAATTCGCTGATAGTGAACTTTGACCAATGAAAACTTTCAAAAAAATGTAATAAAATGTCATTAGCGATTTTTAATTGGTGAGGCTATAAATATTACAATTTCTATTCATAAAAACCCACTCCTAAAACCATTTGAAACACTTCTTAGATAGTGTCTCTGAAGCTTGTGTTTATCAGAAGAAAAAATGAGTGTGACTGTGGTAATTTATTTTAATGGTAAGATTAAAGCAAATACAAGTAAAGGTGTGGCATTTGCATGCGAGAAGCCAACATGTGTGTATATTTCATACAATGTATCATTTGAAGATTTAAAGTATTGGCTTTATTGATGTCCAATATTGATATTTGGCAGTTTTATGCAATATTATTCAATTTTACTAACTAACGATGATATTATTCAACAAATGTTTTAGATACATTAGCAGTGTTATCCTTTAAGTAGTACGATTAAGTTGTACGTTGTTTTAAAAAATAATGAGGTTCAAGAAGAATTTGTGAGCATCATGCTAAAGACAGAGATAGAATGAGAACACAACAACAATGAAAGTGATGACTATGACTTTGAAGGAGAATATCAAAGTGATGAGAAAAGCGATGAGGATCTTAATGATGATGCTAATGAAGAAGAGCTCTATATGGGTGGGCAACATCCTTTTGGGGAGTCACCTTTCATGCGTGAATTAGATCTTGATAATATGAATGCTTTTGAGTTTACAGAGTATGCAAACTTAGGTATGTAAAAATTTTAATTATGTCAATGAGATTAATATTAGTTTTGTTAATTAGTTTATGTTCGCTATTGGTAGGTAATACAGAGATAGATGATGAATTATTTGTTGGAAGGCAATTTGATGATAAAGAAGCTGTTATAAAAATAGTAAAGCTTTACATTATATCAAAAGGAACATATTACAAAGTGTTCAAGTCAAAATCAAATACATTTTATTGCAAATGTGTAAAATATGGCTTAGATTGCAAGTGGCTTTTTCGAGTTAGTTTTAGAAAGAACGAGTATTTTTGAAAAAATTGAAAATATAATGGTCCATACACTTGTATTGTTGGAATCATTTCTCAAAATCACAGAAAGTTGAATACAGACACAATTGCAGAATGTATAAAGTCAAGGATAAAATCTTATCCTTCTTTTAAAATTAAAGTAATGATTAGGGAAATTCAATCTCAATTTGGGTACATGATAAGTTATCAAAAGCGTGGTTGGCAAAACAAAAGGCAATTGAAAAAGTATTTGATCATTGAAAAGCCTCATTTGAAGCTTTGCCGCAATGGTGCATAGCAATGTGTGATATTGTTTAAGGATCTGTTGTGAAACTAGATGCTACAAAGGCTTATCGTAATGATGAAATGGTTCCTAATGTTTAAATATTACGTCGAGTGTTTTGGAGTTTTGGTCCTTACATTAAAGCATTTTGACATTGCAAGCCAATTATGCAGGTTGATGGGACACATTTATATGATAAATACAAGGGAGTTCTACTAGTGGCTGTTGCACAAGATGAAAATTAGAATATACTGCCGATTGCATTTGCTGTTGTTAAGGATGAGACAGTAGATGCTTGAAGTTTTTTCCTTGAAAATTTATGAAAATACATTATTACCAAAGATAACGTTGGCATGATTTCTGATCATCACGAGTCAATTATAGGAGCAATAAGAAGAAGCAATGGCCAATGAGAACCTCCAAGAGCATTCCACATGTATTTTATTAGGCACATTGCTGTAAATTTCTTGTGAAGATTCAAGGCTCTCAACTTGCATAAACTTGTTGTTCGTATACGTAATTAACCTAATTTTCATATTTAAAATAAAACAATTAACATATTATTAGATGACATTCTCTATGCTTATGAAATTTGAATTTGTTATTTACAGGTTACTCAAGAACTGAGCATGAATTTAATATTCATTGAGCCAATACGGAGGCGTGAACAAATTTATATATACTAGTTTAATGAAATACCACTGGAAAAGTGAGTTTTAGCATTTGACGGCAGACATTGATGGGTCATATGACCACGAATCTCATTGAGCGCATTAATTTTGTATTAAAAGGTGCTCGCAATTTGCCTATTTGATAAACGATACCGAGTCGTTATCAAAACAACTTAGTTTCGCTAAGAATTTTGCAATACAGAGCTCAACCTAAGTTGATTCACAGAAACACATTTTCAGTTAAATTCAATTTTAGTTTTTTACAAGAATGAAAGTAAGGTTTTGAGGGTTTGAAAACTACAAATTAATTAAATTAAATTACAAACAAATTAAAATTGAGTAAAAATAAATTAAGAAATATTAATCCACATAATACTAGATGCATGTAACCCCAATTATCATACTATCTAAATATTTTAATCCAAGTTCAAATATTTACCCAATTAAATTATTAATTCAATCAATAACCTAATTGAACTAAATCACATATTAAATCTAATTATCATTTAACTTAACCCAAATTAATTATTAAATTAGAATTTCAATCAAATCCTAATTTGAATTCTAACCATAGAAAAGTTAATCATAATCACAATACACAAATTTGATATTAGAGAAAAAGGAAACAAACTCGAAATAATTTAGCTCAGAACTCAAATTGGATATACAGCGTTTAGATTCTGCTGATTGAATTGGAGATTTAGCCTTTCATCGAAGCACTTAACTCACGCAAGAATGAGAAGAGAATGAGAGAATTCGATAGAAAGTAAAAACAAAATATTTTTATTTCAGCCAAATCTCAAAAAATTAAAGTGTCTATTTGCACTCCCTATTTCAGAACCTTATTAGTCTAATTATAGGTTCTGATTAGGATAAATTAAGTGGCAAAAATTTTGGCCTCAATAATATCTAAAATCTCAAATACAATTATGAAATAACTAGGATCTAAATGAAATCTTGCAACAATATTTAATAAATCTGTGTCAACTTCAAAAAATCATAAAAAAACAAAAATAACTCCAAATCTAGCGATTCATATATGTATTTTAAAGCTCTGAATGTGTATAATCCAATGCAACTGGAATTAGTCAAAAAAGATATCTGTAGACAAAGTTATGGCAAGAAAAGTAGTAAGAGGTTAGAATAACTGAAAATACAAAATTAAAGTATTTATTTGTAACAAGCCCAATTTATTCAAATAACTAGAAAATAATAAAAACTCTAAAAATAAAGCATATAAAAAGTGTTTATTAATCAAAATAAAACTATAAATGTAAATCTAAAATATGTTACATCACTATTACAGCATTTATAAG